ACTTCTATTTGAGATGCACTTCTGTTTGAGATGCACTTCTATTGGAGATGCACTTCTATTGGAGATGCACTTCTGTTTGAGATGCCTTCTGTTTGAGATGCCTTCTGTTTGAGATGCGCTTCTAATTGGGAATGCGCTTCTATTAAAGATGCACTTCTATTGGAGATGCACTTCTATTGGAGATGCACTTCTATTTGAGATGCACTTCTGTTTGAGATGCACTTCTGTTTGAGATGCACTTCTGTTTGAGATGCGCTTCTATTCGAGATGCACTTCTAATCATAAGTTGAGTATACTATAAACAGTGGTCTGTTGTCTCTTGGACATATCCTACCGTACAATACTCATACACAACTTGCAGTATTCCTGTTATCTTTGTTTTGCTAAAACTAATTGTAACTATTGGGAATAACATAATTACAAACTATGAATATGTCTCAATTTAGATAAATACTGTCATCTTCATATAGGTTCACATTGGAATACGAGGCATTGTATGCGACAAATACAACCACGGTCTGAAAGGCGCAATGATTCGCGTAGAAGGCTACAACAAAGCTGTGTATACATATAACGACGGTGATTACTGGAGATTATTGTTACCGGGTAAATATACGGTAACTGCTTCTGCTCCAGGATATACTGAAGAAGTAAAAGAAATAAAAGTACCGGATAACGGCAAAGTTCTAATTGTTGATTTCTACTTGACACCTGAAAATGCAATATTTGGATTACCACCAGCCATGTTTATTATCATCACAGGTTTGTGAACTATTTTAAATACTTCATAATAATTGATCAGTCTTTGTTTTCATCTGATTCCTATGATGAATTTGACGTTTGATGGGTTTAGGGATAGTGTCCTTTGTATAAAAACAATCTGATCATACATAGATCAATAATAAAAAAAGCAAAATAAAAAAAGTTATTTTATAGTAGAACACCCACTCATGCTTATTCAGTCATAATGCATTCACTTCATTTTGCGTTTGTTTTTTGTTTTTTTCCAGCTACTGGTATTGCTTTATTCATCCTGATGTTCATTTTTCTGTATCGCGTATGCAAATACCGCAAAATGGATCGTAAAAAGCATGGATTTTATCGCTTAGATGGCGAGAAAATGTACCAAGAAGAATACGCAGACCGCCTGGCTTTACGTGACTACCATTCCAAACAGACATTATTGAGCAATGGTTACAAGGATTTAAGTGAATCAGAGAGTGAAGATGATATCATGTTTAAAAAATATTAGTAATTTGTTAAAATTACTGTAACATTGCTGCCATTAAGCTTGGTTTTACATTCCTGCTTTCTCAGTATTTGTCATCAAATCGTTTCATTTCAAGCGTCTGCCCTGAACCAGCGCCACTCCAGTACGGTACGTCATTGATGTGGAGAAATGTTATCATAACTATGACTAGCTGACCATGTTGAAAAAATGATACATGACACTATAGTTGACCTCAAGGTCATCGGATTAATGTCAACTCTACAAATAGATGATTTGTGGGTTTCAAGTGCGTGTGATACGCATTTTGATTACATCAGAAATGTCGCAGGCTTGTTCGAACATTATGCATGATTCATGTCACCGAAATTTGTACAAAACGTTCGAAGTTCTAAATTTGAAGTCAAACATTTGTATCTTAATGAACTACGAATGGGACAAAAGATGCATAACTATGATGTATTCAAACAAAAAACCCCAAATAGTTTATTTAAACAGTGACTTTGATAATCCAAGCATGTATTGGTAGTAGTAGATCTTTAGACACACCTGACAAAACAGTGCCTGACAAAATAACCATATTTTACATGGATGGAAATTATTAATTTATTTATGTTTTTACATTAACATCGTTAACATCAACATTTAAAATTTATAGCAAATCAGTTTGAAATAAAATAAATCTGTTTGTTGTAGTAGGAGCTTCATCTTATCTATTTTTTGCTCTAAAATACACTCTGAATTCAAGAAATGTTTTTTCTCTATGTGCTAATATATAGTGCTTGTAAGCCTGGGCTGTGCCAACTTTTGTCGCTGTTAATTATATCAAAAATCAAAATATGAAAATAGTGCCAAACTCTGTTGCTTTTTTTTTTCTTTGCATTCTTTATTTACTCAATAAGAATTTATTTACATTGATGTCCTTGCTCAGCAATTCAGAGAAATATTTCACTTACTAAATATTGTAGATATAACTGAGAGTCGTAACACCAAAACTCATCTGTGTATTGGTTCTTTTTGGCAAACATTTATAGAGCGGCAGTCGTCGTGCCGCATCCTGTTCGATATGGGACTAGCAACCTATACAACGCGTGTAAAATACATTGTTTATATATATGAAATTCGAACACGCGCTGCACGACGACCACCAAGCTTTAATTATTTTGATCCACTGTTGTCAGGTGTGCGTTTACTGAATAGTGCAATACCCATCCGAGATGTCACATTAAGCTTTTAAGATGGTTTATATAAATCCACTGTTATGAATACCTACTACGTACAACCCTAGAAAACAGACTTTTTTTAGTATGTGCTTGCATTCTTTTAGGCTGGGATTTAAAACTTGTCTGCGGTAGACTTGAAGGCTAATTCTTGGTTTTCTAGGTGGATTTATACAAATCTATATAATCAGTGCATTTATATTTGCCTGTAATATTTGTAGATATTTTTGTGCGAGTTTTGTTTTATACACTTAGATGATATTTAAAAAGGGTAGAATTGTTTTCCTAAGGTGTTTTGTATTTACATTTCTTTGTAATAATGGAAACTATAATATTAGAGGATTTCTACAGGGAGCTAAAACACTATTATAAAAAAACTATTATAAAAGACCATTATAAAAAAAAAACATCTTCCAGATGTGTAGCCAGGGTTGTTATTATAAAAAAGATAGAGTAGAATCTACTCAACTCTTTCACTTCCATTGTTGGCTTTTGTCTACTTCCACACAAAAAAAATCCTTTTCAAAAGCCTGTCAAAATTTGAAATTTCTGATAAACATTTTCAAGGCAATATTTTATTATTTGATTAAAAAAATGCCATGCATTTAGGGAAATTTGTGGGGAAAAAGTTGCGATAAATGTCATTAATTATTGTCACAACACTTATTTCACAATAACTAAAATCATACAATGTGTACGATTTTAGGTTTTATTGGAATTCATCATAAGACATCACTATTTAAAAAAATTCTTCTGAACTATAAACTTTTGTAAAATTATCATGCATGTTGAAATATAATTTAATAACAATTTTATTTTTAATTATTTAATTATTTCAGTTTTTAGACACAACACTTTTTATAATGTGTGTGTTATTTATTGCCTTAACTATCTTGTCATTTACCGCAAAAGTGTCAGCTCATTGTTTCTTTGGAGGTGGAATACTTCGGTGAAATCACATCTATTTTTTAAAACTGCAAATATTGTGTACAGGAAGTATTAATTAATTTCCCATAATTAAATCAGAATTATAAGTGATTAATAATTAAATTTAGTGATAGTCTCCCTGCCTGATGAAGTCATATTTTCTCAAATTTCATCATTTTCTAATGTAGAAAACATAAGCAGTTTGTAGTAAATTGTCCCTTGTATATTTTTGGAAACCAACAATTTATGCCTTATGATGTATTAAAATAATAATACTTTACCATTTGTTTGTTTATCTCAATAAAATTGTGGTAGTAGGGAACAATGAAGTGACAGCGTATTGTCCTACTTCTCCCAGTTTTACTCTAATTTACATATTTTTTTTCTGAAATACAAACAACTAAAATGTTAAAACGATTTCCATATGAATGATAGATTTACTGTACCTACCTAGATATACTCTGACTCGGGTGGCTTGGTCCACTGCCTGCTGCACTTACTCAGGGTGGCTTGGTGCACTGCCTACTACACTGACTCAAGGTAGCCTGGTGCACTGACTCAGGGTAGCCTGGTGCACGTGATACTACACTGACTTTGGGGGGGGGGGACCCCCTTCTTTTATAAAATAATTCTGCTATTATAAAGTACATTTTAAAACTTACTACAAAAGTCAAAGAGTTTCTTCAAAATTTATGTTTTATATCTACCGGTAATTAGACAGATTGTTATATTAGGCTTTGGGTATATTCATTGTGTGAATATTGCTTATTTCAATGAGTTTTGGAACATGACAATGTATCATAAAAGCCTATTTTGTCTTCAAAGGCTTTCTTTTCAAGACTTGACATCATGAGAGATTTTCCATCATTGTTGTTTTGTTTTTTTCAAATTATGATCATTACATCAACATTTTTCCATGTTCAATTTGTTGAAGTATTAAAAGGTAAATCTAAAATCAAACGAAAATTATGAAATGAAATTGAAAAATTACTATCATTACCACCATATTTTAGCCCTCAGTAATTTGATCTTTCTTTCAACAAAAAAATTATGAAATTTTTCATAATTTCAAAATTAATAGAATCTGTAAACAATGTCAGGTTTCCTCAGTTTGATCAAAAATTAACATAAAAATTTAAGAATTTCGCTGAATTTGTGCTTTTGTCATTTTACCGGGAAAAGAATCTTATGGTGACTGAATAAGATGTAAATTAAAGACAAATATTATGAAAGCACACCCAACAGTTAGTGATACAAAGGTAAACTGTTGCCATGGAGACCATAAAAATGGTCTTCGAAAGATTAGTACAAGTAGTCTCAAGTACAGAGGTAATAATTGGTGCTGGTTTGTGTCTTCATGGATATTTTTGTCTAGGAATAGATTTCATTTTTGACATTTGCCCATTGACATATAATAAACTTTACAATCTCTTCTGTTAGAAGTTGTTTCATAAAAGTCATACCAAGATTTCTTGCATGGAATTAATTTAAAGCGGATGTAGGAAGGGGAAATTTCAATAAGACTGTTGGAGCAAGATGTCTTGTCATATTTGGATTGTTGGAGCAAGATGTCTTGTCATATTTGGATTGTTGGAGCAAGATGTCTTGCCATATTTGGATTGTTGGAGCAAGATGTCTTGTCATATTTGGATTGTTGGAGCAAGATGTCTTGTCATATTTGGATTGTTGGAGCAAGAAATGTCTTGCCATATTTGGATTGTTGGAGCAAGATGTCTTGTCATATTTGGATTGTTGGAGCAAGATGTCTTGCCATATTTGGATT